TATGCTTTGGACATAACCAGCTTTAAACCTGCTTTATGGTAATGATAGGTAACGTACAATGGGAAGCCTTTGGCCCAATAATGGAGAGACTTGGAGTCACAGGTCTGCCACTAACTAGCTGTGAGGTCCTAGACAGAATTACATAGCTCTAACCAAGAAACGCGATAGCCATAACTCGTTTGGCTCTTATCCAGGTTAAACAGAGAGTGATTGTGTTGGATTTCCATTTATTGCACACAAGTCTCTAGACTATTTCTTTCTCACATCTACCACTCTTGTCATAGCTTTGCTTATGTTTTCTCAGCTGCACATCCCTTTCTATACCACAACCACCCCCTCATTTTCCACAAGCAGAAGTTTTTCCCAGAGCACAGAATATAAGATCTAGCTTGAATGCCCCCTCTTCTAATAATTCATGCCTCCCTTGGCCTTTCTACACTGAAATTTATGCCTATGCAGGTGAAGATACAATTTTGTCTCATATTTTGTCATTTTTGTCTCATATTACAATTTGTAATTCACATATTTGTCTTTTTTTTAACTGGGCCACACATTATCTGAGGGTCATTTAACTTTCTTTCCATCTCGAGCACCTACCAGAATGGTTTGTATTTCATAAGAATTCCATGTGGTTATAGTGATTTACTATCATGGATTTGCTTTAAAATTTCTTTTCCCAGTCTCCTCTCTCTTGGATAATCTAACAAGTCACTGTTATATAACTATTAACAATTGAAATTCTGAATGTTCAGCTTTATTTTAGAATTATTTTTCATAAGCATTTGCAGTTAAAGTAGAAATTTTGTGCTGATAATTTACTATTAAATAGTAGGGCAGAAAAATCATTCTCTTAGCCCAAGACCTGGATTTGTAAAGAAAACTTTAAAAAAATAGAGCTGATATAGAAATTTTATGAAGTCTTAGAAAAGGGGGAAACTTCATACATATTCCTGCCTATTAACATGTCTATTGTCAAAGCATAATGTAATCCATCAGAACCAGAATCATCTGGAAGCTTGTTAGAAACATAGAATATTTGACCCATCACAGACCAGTTTATGAGTGTCCACTTTTACCTTACAAATGAAAAAAAAAAAGAATTGCTTAGAAGCAAGCCACCTTGAGCCCAAAAGAGTATGCTTTACCAAGTATCTCTCTCTTTCCAACAAGTATTGATTGAAGACTTCCTGCATGCCACTTGTGTCAGGATTCATAGTTGAGGAGAGAGCTAAATTACAATCAATAATAAAAAAAAAGGACCAGATGCAGACATTAAAACAGAAAGTAAAAGCAGAAGCTGAAAACAAATAACTCCTCTTCTCACCGAGTCTGTTTTTAGATACTAAGTTCCAAGAATAGGAGACATAAATGGATAATTTACATCTTCCCTCTCCTTACAGTTATTTAAAACCTATAAACTCTTCACAACAGGTAAAGACCTGAGAATTGAAGGTTTGACTCACAACAGGAAGTTCTGAAACTAACCTGTCATCCTTATGTGTGGTTTTTTTTTTTTTTTGGAGGGGGGGATGGCTGGATCCCATCTATCACCAGAGCTATCATTTAAGGATTGGGGTATAATCTCTCAGTTCAGGAAGTATAAAGCCTACAGGTGATAATAATAATAATAATGTCTTTCACCTCCATTTCCAGTGCAAGAAATGTTTCTTCTTTCATTTTCTCGTCCTGTTTTAACCTGTTATTCTAAAGTAAAACTTTGCTAAAACTTTCCCCTTGTGAGATTCTCCTTGTTGTGAGACCCCTTGAAATATTTTCCATGTGTGGATCTCAAGGACCTGCAGTTTTGTGTGGGAAATGAGAAGCATCCACATCCATTGTTTAGTGCCCCTCAGTGTTGTTATAATAGATGCTATTCTCATCTGCAACAGTTCTGGAGGGAATGCCTCAGGAATACACCGTGTATTCCCCTCTTTTTTTTTTAACTGTTTTTGGGTAAATCAAGTGATTTAGCTACCAGTTTGAACTAGCTGCAAAACAACTTGCTCTGAAGTGGTCCTACTTCTCTTGCCCTCTAGTGCTCACTTAGTAATGCCTCTGGTCTTCAAAATTTGACGTTTTCTTAAGATGCTCCTTCATTAACAGGAAAAGACATGGTGGCACTGGGATTTGAACTCGGCTTCCCACTTGCTAGATAGGTGCTCTTTTGCTGACCTATGCTTCCAGACCTATTTAATGGTTTTGCTTAAGGAATGGAGTTTGTTTGCCTTAAGGCCTTTAAAATTTTGTACTTAGAATATATGTGTGTATATGCTTGAAATATACATATATATATATATGTTTAGAATATGTATCCAAAGGAAACCCAGAAAGGTGGCATTTTGAACACAAACATCTTAAGATGTTTTATTCACAGAATGGTTTTTTTTCAGAACAAAGAGATTTTGTTGACTCAAAACAGCTACATGACATATTCCCAATATTCTACAGACCAATATATTATAGTGCCCTTTAAACATCAACATACAGGATAAATATCATAGACTTTCTTTTAATGGGCTTCCAAACAATATTCTTCCATAGAAGACAAAAAAAGACAATAAAAATTATTCGGCCACTTAAATAAATGTTAAGAATAACCGCATTAATACTAAAATACCTAGTGTCCATTAATGAAGATAGCATAAGGAAACTCACAGAAAGCTATTGAACAAGAGAAGGATAGGGAGGACTGCAAAGAGGGTGATAAAGAGGTGTTGACTAATTAATTATAATATATGTAATTGTGATTTACCATGGCAAAACTCCTTCGTGCAATTATTTGAAACAGAAAAAATGACAAAAGACCAAAACAGGCTTGGGGGAGGGGGAAATGCCAGAAGAGAAAGTCAATGAGGGCAAATATGGTCTGAGTACATTATATGCATGTAAGTCCATGAAATAGAACAGTGAGACCCATTGAAGTTGTTTTAGGAGAGGAAGAGAGGTGAGGAAGAGAAATAGAAGGAGGGAGTTTTATCAAGGTTCATTATATGCATGTATACTAATGATACTTAAACACCAATGTACAACTAATAAATGCCAATACGCCACCTTTCTGGGTTTCCTTTGGATATATAGTCTAAGTATCTATCTATCTATCTATCTATATGTATGTATATATACATGTATCTATATATACATCTATATGTATATACATGTATCTATATATACATATAGATAGATACATATTCCAAGTACACACATACAAAATTTTGTTTTAAGGAGTAATCCTGAAGCTGAAATTTTAACAGAATATCAAAAAAGAGGCAATATGTAGTAGGAATTATGTGCCTAGAAAGATGGCTTTGGGACATTGGAAATAGAGTGCAGCCACTTGGTGCTGAAACACCAGATAACCTTTAGATCCATTTATGAGCCTCTGGAGTCCAGGCCTACTTTTGTTGTCTTTCCCCTGAGGCCCTCCAGAGGCCCAGAGGTTCTGCCTGGCCTAGAAGTCATTCAGTGCCCTACCATGGAGGCCATGGTGTTTTTTCTTAATTAGCACCTTTGCCAAGATGTTCAGTGATTTTTTTATGGTTTTCTTTTATGTTTGTTCAGTGATTTTTAATTCCCAAAGTTCCCTTACCTTAGAAAGCCTGTAGTTCGCCACCATGGCTGAGCACCACCATTTGAATGAGTAGAGCACATTGCAGGAAGGAGGAAAATGTGTTTGCGTACCTACAGAAGGAGGGCACCTTTAACTTGCAAACTACTTACACGATCCAGAAATATTGACATGGGCCAATTAAAACTTTCATTCCAAAATGAGATTTGCAAATAGTGCCTGCTGCCTAACCCAGGTCCTGAAGTTCTCAGATTGTGTTTCATTAAAAAGGACACGTAGCAGTGACTCTCCCTGCATTGAGGACACTGAAAGGAACAAATGGGACCAAGAATTCAAAAGAAGGTTCCAAGCAGGGCAGTACCAATGTGGCTGTATCACTATTGACTCTCCTGGAAAATGGCAATCACGGCACAGAATTGCTACCAAATAGTATGTAGAGTGAACGAACCGTAATTATGTAATTCTGGAAGCCTAACCATCCTTGAGGGTTTATATGGTTTATGTATCTCATAGAAACCATCACTGATGGTTTCTATGAGATACATCGTATTTTTCGATTTCTCTGCCTCTCCTAGCTCTTTTTTGCTTTTGTGGTTTATGGAAAACGTAGTGCTTTTGGGGGGTGGGGAGTGTTCATTGCTGGGGAGGGGGAGGAGTGGAAAGAAAACATTTGTGGTCGTACTGTGAGTAAGGACTATGGGAAAGTCGGGGGTGGGGGAGGTGGCGGGAGCTGTCTGACTGGCCAAAGCCTGCGAGCTCCCTCGTCTGCAGAAGCTGGCTGCAGGGGCATCTGTCGGTCTGCACCCAGGGAGAGCCGGGGAGTTGGCATCCAGGGAAAAGAAGAGCGAGCAGTGGGCGCGGGATGCAGGATCAGCCTCGGAGCGCGCCAGCCAGCCAATCGGAGCGCGCTGCGCCAGCGGCCAATCACAGGCCGCCTCTCCGGGCAAATCTGCCCGGCAGTGCGGGGCGGGGCTGCCGGGAGTCCGAGCGCGGCCGCGGGTTACTCTGCCGCCGAGCGCCTTTGGGAGTCGACCCCAGGGCTGGGGCGGGGCGGGAGCGGGCGTGGGTGCCGACCCGCCCGGGAACGGAGGGATTAGGCCAGGCCCAGCGGGTGTGAGGAGCCCGGCGACCCGTACGGAAGCCTCGATCGAGCTGGCGATGCAGCGGCCGGGCGCGCACACGTGGGTAGGAGCCCCGAGGCGGGTCTACCGGCGGCCGGGGGCACCTGTCGTGTGAGTAGCTCCGGGCGTGGCTCGCTCCCGGGACCCCCGGGTTTCCCGCGTCCGGTCTCAGTCCCGGCCTCCCTCCCCGCGTCAACGGAGTGGAACGTGAGAAGTTTCAAAGCAGCTGGGACTGAGCAGATTAAGGAAGTGGAGCTGGGGCTGGGCCGAGAGGGTGGGGACTCGGGGCGCCGGGGTCGGGGTGAGGAGCCGCCCCGCCACCCTCCGTCTCCTTAGGCGTTTGGGAAAGCCGGGCGTTGACAGACGTGGCCCTGGAGATGTCCAGGGCTGGTGATGGTCACCGAGTGAACAGCGTCTAGGCTCAGCCTTGGACGATTTGTGTGGACCAAAGGTATGCTAGCTATTCGGAGAGCGAGGAGGAAATTCAGGATGGGGACCATCTGCTCCCCCAACCCCAGCGGGACAAAGACAGCGTCGGAGGTCTGCAATGCCGATTGGATGGCCTCGCTCCCCCCTCACCTCTACGACGTCCCCCTCTCCAATTTGGCGATCCCAGGTATTCCTCGGTGCTGACTTGTTCAAACCAGTGTTTGGTTCTGCCATTTTACTGTGGTTCATGGGGTTGGGTGGGTGGGTGGTTTTTGTTTTTTTTTTTTTCTATTGTGTTGAGAAAATAATTGTTAGTTGTCCCCCTTGGGCTTTCCAAACCAAAATTTAACAGGGAAGAAGCCTCCTTGAAAGAGATGAGTACCCTGCATCTTTAGCAGAAAGGACTCTTGGAAATGGGATCACTGCACTGTTGTCTTGTTGGGTTCATGTCTACTTAATAGTCTCATTCTAAGAATGTTAACCTTCCCAGTGTTGGGCCAGGCTATGTGAAGAGGGTATTTACTTGACTCCCTGAAAGAAAAAAAAAATTAAAGGTAGAGGTTTTATTTGTAGGTTGTGAATAAAAATCATTAATAATTTTAGATCAGGATCAACACTGAAACTGAAAAAAAAAATTTCCTTTCTCATAGCTGACCTTGTGTATATTGGAGAAAGAAACAACAACAAAACCAGATAAGCATTAGGAACTAGGTTGAGATTCAGAATCCGGGTATGAACATACATTTTTTTGTTGTTGTTGGAAAAGCCAGAAATAGAGACTGCAAGCTCTCATCACAGGTAGTCATTAGGTGTGATGAGGTGAGGGCGTTTGAAGCCTCGTCTATGTATACACCACACAGGTGTCTGTCTGGCTGAGCTAGAACTGCTGCCTTGAAAAGCACTTCTGCTCCAGCCACTTCCTGTCTGCTCGGGCATTTCCACCTGGACATCACATTCATTCGATTTGTTAAGGTGCGTTTTTCTTTCCACTCAAAAGGTTGTTAAGCCAGGGTTTCTAGGGAAGGATGCTTAGACTACAGCAAGCTTGGCCTAATATTCCCCACAAAGTCCTTTAATGCTGATGCTTGGAAAGCACTCAAGGAGTGAGGGATGGACGACTGCCAATCCTTTCTCTCTCTTGGAAATTGAAGTTCATCTCCAGACTGACCACCAGACAAACTACTAAGCACTCCCTGATCCTGTCTGCCTTTTTAGTAGCTGCAAAGATGACCTCATCCAACCCCCATCTTTGCTTTCTATGCTTGAAGAAGGATAGCACTGGCTTCAGATGCAGACTTTTCCTTGCTCACCTCTTCTTTTGGAGGTTTTCCAGTTTCATTGTCCTCATGAGCCCTTGTTGCTTTGGAGCAAGGAGTGAGCTGATAAATGTCTTTACAGTACTAGCCATTGACTACAACTCCTTGGGAAATGTCAGACGGTGCTTCTGAACATGCCTTTTCCATGTTTAATTGGTGCCTGTGGAGTCATCACCACAGTAATGCATGGGATACCTTTAACATTAGTCATTTGCCTTCAGGCTTTCAGTGGAGTTATTTTGCTGAGTGATATGGCAGGTTGTGGGGTGTGTGTTTGTGTGTGCGCGCGCAAACAGAATGGCATCTTAGGGCAGTTGTAATGGCCCTATCATTCATGGCATGTCTGGAATAGGTTGAGACTTCCTCCTTCCTTACACTTTGGCAGCTTCAGCAGCACAGCAGCTCTGCTCAGTGACCTGACTAAGATTCTAGAAACAAGCTGGGCATTTATTGTGCGACCTGTAGGGTTACTTGTAGTTACCAGAATTGCCATAGGAAGAAAATAGCCAGGACCTGCTGCTGTGCCTGGAAATTCTATGATTAGTTGCTGGGGTGGGAAGTTGTTCAAGAATTTGTTTACTTTGCTTTCTGAAGTCAAATCCTGCTAAGAAAAAAAATAGCTTTGACTCCTCAAAAGATGCTAAATTCACTACTGTGAAATGTCCTTCTTGCAGGAGTAGAAGGGACATAAGTCCATGTATATGTCAGCTCACACAGGAGAATCTCGTACTTATTAAGTACTAACCATTAGTGGACTCTACTAGTTTTCCTTTCTGTACCTGGAGTGTCATTCTCCCCATATAAAAGCTTGCAGTCAAATCCTGCTAAGCCTTGCTGAGAAATGCTGAAACATGTAAGCTATTCCAGAAGTGGGACAATCATCTTTCTCTTCCTTTCCATCATATCTATTCTTCACTGAACTCTATGCACCCACTGACCTGTATGGTCTCAAGTCCTTCCATTTCGATGAAGAAGTAGGTATTGTCATCCTCCATTTAGAAAAGAGGAACTAACTGGCCAGAAACTTTTAAGTGATTGCCTCCAGACTACAAAAATGCAAAGTGGCAGAACTAGCATTTAAAGTCTTCTTTAGCTAAAGTCACAGCCCGTGAGAGGGACCTGGGAAGTGGAGGAGGGGGACCCAGAACAATGGAGATATTCTCTTACTGAAAACCAACTTTCCTGAGCTATACTCTGCAGTCAGTGAAAGAAATGGTCAAAACCAGGTGGTTTTTATATAAGTGATGAAAAAGCATTTGTGAAGATTAGACAGAGAAAAAGAGCTAGATAAATGTATATGTATTACATATCTAAAAGACTGATGATAGATGATAGGGAAGTAGATGATACTTATATACATACGTACATAGACAGATACCTATATAGATATACAGACTGATACCCTTGTTTAGAATTGAAACCCAGTAAAATTGAATTCAAATTTACTGCTTTGATTTGTATGCTTGTGTATCTGTGTGTGTGTGTGAGAGAGAGAGAGAGAGACAGAGACAGAGCATGCACATGCTGATCTGTGGCATCTGTAAGTCTGGGAAGGTCTATCACGGGGTTTGGGACAGCAGTGGCATGGGAAAGGTCAGGGAAAGGCAGAAGATTTTGTCAATACTAGCAGAGCAGAGATGGAGTGAACTATGTTAGATTTCCATGCATCTGCCTAGGTTGTGATGGGCAAGAACATGTTTGAGCCTCTCAACAGAGCCTTCATGTATTATTTTATTTCTGTACCTGTCAGGAACACCTGTTAATTACCAGTGCCGTCCAAACATATTGAAATATTTTAGAGAATAAGCTTAGAATAATTTTCATTGCCAACTGTACAGAACCATTGATGTCTGAATAGTTTTTTAATTCAATTAAATCAAAGCTTTAAACTACACTTACCTTTTTTTTCCCTTTATCCCTTGTCCTGGGGCTTGAATTCTGGGTCTGGGCTCTGTCCCTGAGCTTCTTTTGCTCAAGGTGAGTGCTCCACCACTTGAGCCACAATGCCGCTTCTGACTTTTTTGAGTAGTTTATTGGAGATGAGTATCACAGCCTTTCCTGACCAGGCTTGCTTCAAACCATGATCCTCAGATCTCAACCTCTGAGTAGCTAGGATTAGAGGCATGAGCCACTGGTGCCCAGCACCAGTTATGTTAGAAAGCAAGATATTTCCTATGGACAAATGGACCAAGAGAGAAAATATTTTTGATAATATATGCTGAATCTCAAAGAATTGCTTTTTATCTGTATATCTTGTTCTATGTTATATAATTTTTCTTTAAACTATGCTTATTCTTTTTTTTATTAAAGGAAACTGTTTTGTCAGACCCTTGAACTTAAAGGTCTCACATCTGTTTTTTCATTTGAGTTATGATATTGAAGGAGCACCTAAAGTTCTTTCTTTTCTGATTTTGATATTGAGTTAACTGAAATATAGCATCCAAATTAAAAATTACTTTATTGATTTGAGGGTTTTGTTTTGCTGTTGTTGTTATTGTTGTTGCTCTTGTTGCTTTGTCTGTTCTTTGTCCAAATGTAGGAGAAAAGGAAAAGAATAGTTGGTTGCGTTCAGGTTTAAAAGGTTATTTAAAAATGACATGTTGGTGTATGCCAGAGAGAACTCACAATTGCCCAAAGAATGATTTCTCCTAAAGTGGAATTGACTCTAGCATCCTAAAAGTTGATCTAAAGGAATTTTCACTTCTTATCATGAGTGCGTTTTAAGAATCTTCCATACCCAGGATACCAAAAGATGAGTCAATCCTACTGCCAAAGAAGTTTACAATCTGGTGATAGATAGTTTTCTCTATATATCTACCATATTTAGTACTGGGAAAGAACAGTTTGAATATGAGAAAATACTTCAGTAAGAAAATGGCATTTGACCTAGATTTGAAAAGCTCTAGATTTGAAAGAGCTATGGCTTGGAATTTGGGGTTGGGGTTGGGAATCCAGGTTTAGTTCATTGCAATTAAGCTAAATAATGAAAATATATGTCAGATTTGGTGGGAGAAGGACATACTCTCTGCTATGCCTCCATTTCCCTACTTAGTACCTGTATCATGCACTTATCATGTTGTTATGTTATGAGCCCATGAACAATTTGCAGATAGTAAATATGACTTCTTAAAAAATAATCCTAGGTCCTAATAGTTGTAACAAGTAAATATGACTTCTTAAAAAATAATCCTAGGTCCTAATAATTGTTAATATCTCAGTCATTGGTGACTGTTGCATGTTTGGGAATGTGGGAGAATGCTGGAGAAGTCTCATAGTCACCATCATTTCCCATTGCAATCAAGACTAAACTGAATGAATTGGCCATGTTCACCATTCACGCATAGCCCACATGAAGCCATGTGAAGATTTTCCCCACCCATTCCTTGTTCTTTGCCACATTCCTGAAGCTCCATCAAAGGTTCATCAGAAGACCCCTGAAAGATGACAATTGTAAGGCAGAGGAAAGGTTAGGAGAGTTAGAAGCAGAACCCTGGCTTACCTTCTCTTCTGAAAGTAATTCCTTGACCTAGCCTCCCTTCTGTCTTTCTTTTTTTCCTTGTCATCTCATCTTTCCTGCCTGGCTACTGCCTCTTCGTTCTCCCATTTCTTGTCCCCTTGTCCCCTTCTTCCCACTGATCTAGCCTTATTTCTCTTTCCTTTTCAGGGTCAGTGTTCCTCAGGTGCTCCTCACTGCTCTCCAGTTCCCCAATGGCTCTGTCATCTCAGGTTGCTGGTGTCCATCCTCTTATTTTCTTTCTTCCCTTCTGGGATCCTGTCATTTCCTTATGCAGCTGTTCCCATGACCACTCAATCATTTCCATATATCTTTCTCAGTGGGCCCAGGTTATCTTTCCCACATGGTGACATAGAA